ATGACTTGCATGCAGTTCCAGATTGAAATGTGTGAAAAATTTTACAAAGGTCCACTGTTGGCTACTTGAATCGGATTAGGGCTGCCTTCTGCAGAAAGTCGGGGGTGTTGGCAGCACATAAAGTTGTGGGGTTTAACACAAACAACACAACTCTGAATACTGACTACTAGACCAACTACAAGTCCAAGAAGACCGTAAGCTTGGTGGTGAGGAGGACTCAGAGTTGTTAAAGCTAGGAATTCCCAAGAGCTACGAGCATTTCAAGGATGTTGCTCAAGCCTCTTAAAGCTAGGAAAAGAGCTTTAACACCTCAATGAAAGTCAATACTCAAGCCTCCACAAAAATCAACATCTCATACTACTGAAATGAAAACCGAGCACCAACAAAAGCCCAAAGCCGAGTCATTCAAGGCTCAAAACCGAGTCCAACAATATTAAAATCCAGACTTCCATAAAGCATTAAAGATCTAACCATTTCAAACCCAAAACCGAGACTCCAAATCAAGCCAAAACCGAGCCCCACGAGGCTAAAACAAGACCCAAACATTGATACAAATTTGGGTTTTAATAGAAATTAAAGTGCTAGCCACTTTAAGGTAAAAAAAACGAGCCATCCAAAGCCAAGGAATAACCTGCATGTCTAAACATTCCAAGCGTGAAATTATTCCAACAAATATTTGAACAGAGGAGGAATTTCACGAGAAGCTAAACCAAGCCCTCAAAACAAGCTACAACACTTTCCAAATTAAATAAATTTTCTCATAGCATACATTTCAAGCCAGGGAAAGCCGCAGGAAGCAAAAAACGAGTCACCAAACATGCATAAAACAGTAAAATGAACTCACTAGCATTCATGAAAGGCCAAATAACCTCTCCAATATTTCATGCTAAATGAAAATAAGTGAAAAGCTTCATAATACTCATCCCAACGTGCTTGCAAGAGGAGCAAAAATTATTCCAAAGTCATGCCTTAATTCCCTAACTGTTTGCAACATAAACATGCCACGATAATCATAAATATGCCATAGCCTCCCTAGTTTAAGCGAGTAACCAAGTTTAGCTCTTAGGACATGCCCACATTTCCATTTCTAAATGCACCTGAAGTGAATATCTCAACAATATATCATAGTAAAATGAACTAGCATGCTGTATCAT